TTTCATATTTAATATTAGCTATACACAATGATTTTTCCTCCTCCGTCACAAACGAAAATCCCCGTTCCCACGGATTTCTCTTACACCTAACAATATGCTCGAGAACCGAAAGAACTACCTCCTAAAATTGATCCAGAAGATTATTGCCTTTTACATACTATCATTTAATGTCTACTTCTACAATGCACCTTCCTTATCAAAACTTCCCTCCCACCCTATGTTTCCTATCAATTTCAAAGCTACTATTTAAGAGAGAGTGCTATGAAATATATCATCCTCTGAAAGAAGTTCCAATGCTTGGTTAACATATGAAATACTTCATACGGACACAATATGCGTGGCTAATTTTGCAAGTTGCTCGAACAAACGCGGGAATATATCCCTTAAACTTGTACCATAATAGGTTCCCAGGATGCTACTTATAACCTAAAAGTCCTAAGGTTTAGATGTCGCTGTTGCTTTGGCCAGATTCAACGATGCCGCCACAACTAATTTCACAATCTAGTTTCTAACTCTCATCGTACATTGTCATTGACAACACTCACTTGGAAACTAGAAACTTGGAATAATGAGATATTAGAATAAATAGGACCTATATACATAAGTATCACAAAATAGATGTGTTCTATAACCATACTTTTCACAGAAAAAATATCAGATCCAAAATCTAATATATGCCAAGATGGACACTTGTCATGACGCTAAATGCATTTCAAAATGTTTAGTAAATATCAAAATGGTATTAGGAAATTAGGGAGAAGGCCCTAAAAACCATGTAGTAAATAAAATAGGATAAGACGTGAAAATAAGGAAGGAAGGAAGGAAGGGAGAAGAGGTGGAGAAGAGGAGGCAGACTGACAAAAAGAAAGAAGAGAAGAAACAGCAGTGAGGAGAGGAAGAGGAAGATGATAGGAAAAACAAGAATAGAGGATAAAGAGGCAGAAAGGATATAGAGAAAAGAGGACGAAGGAAGGAGAAGAGAACATGATATCAATTTACTAATGCATACTGCAAAGAAATATGACACAAGTTAAAGACAGAAAACAAAGAAAAAACAAAAGTACAAAGGAAAGAAAACAGAAAAAACAAAAACAAAACTAGAACATTTTCTTTTCTTTTCTTTTTTTAACAAAACACTATGAATCCAATAAATCACAAGTGACATTAATCTACGAGGAAAAAGGGTAGCGTATCTGGGGGACAAAGAAAATGGGGAGAGGGGGGAAGGGGGGGGGGGGTGCGGGGCTAGGTACAGAGGACAGTTCAACAGAATATTTTCACTAATTATTTTCTAAGTTGGAAGCAGTATATAAGGGCCACATTGAGATATGGAGGGTGTTTCTTAGTTGTTGTTTTTTTATTAATATTACCATTATTATTATCATTATCTTATACTTCAACACTTCAGCATTAGTAGATGAATATATATATAATATATAGCTACCATTATACCTGACAACTATCTACCCACCACTTAACTTCTAATCCACAGTTTTGGAATGTGATATTTGCAGTTGGACACTTGGCAAAATATTCACATAGAAAAGGTGTTACAACAGAATTCTCCTAACAAGAGAGAGAAAGCTATCACTCATGGTACTCGCTTACCACAGGTTACAAGCAGAGTCTGGCTGTCTCACGTAATTCAGCAATTCAGCTGTTTTGCATACACAGCAAATAAATGCTTCAAAACTTTTCCTTCCTTTCTTCTCAATAATATAGATCTATATATACATATTTTTTAAAACAGTTTGGGAACCTTTTTTCTACACTGAAAATCTGTTTGGTGATTTTAATAAAAATTACAATAAAAAAAGTTGATACAGTACTGCAAGTGCCAATAATTCAATGTCTATAAATGCTTATATAAAAGTCTCCTCTTTACTTTATTGTTAAAAGATGACAGCTTTTCCTGAAACAGAATGCCTCTGCCTAACAAAAGTATACATTTTACACTGCACTGCAGCAATTAAAAGGAAGGCAGAGAATGAAAGATATTACATAAATGAAACAGCTACCTCCCATCACATCTATAAGCTACAATGGAGTTTACTAGCTATTCCAGACCCTGATATATGTCTAATATTTGTCTACTCAATACATAGTTTTCCCTTGAAACTTATCAGTACTAACAGCCTTCTGTCTGGGTGAAAAAATCAACCATTTTGAAAAATGCTGATCAATGATGATGATCTACAAAGTGACAATTGATCACTGTTTACTCTAAGTACATTCTACCTGATGTAGATCCCCTGAAACAGATCTTATAGGCTGCTGGGTAGAACAAAAGAAAAGGAAGGAAAAGAAAGCGACAAGAAGAGCCAAGAGAAGAGAAGAAAGAATAAGAAAGACAGGAGAGATGAGAGAGAGAGTGAGAGTGAGGAAAAAACAGCTGGGTTGGTGACTGGGGATTGGTCTACAAAAAATCATGAGAACATCTTTGCCTTGAGATGCATTGGAACATACAACAATATTTTCCCCTCTTTCCTTAATTACTTTAACTTACAGGTGAAAAATTATTCATCGTCACTTTGTGACTCCACATCCTCATTATCGTCATCATCATCCTCTACGTCTTCCAAAGCCTCCTCCCTCATCTCAAAGTCTTCTTCCTGTTCTTCAGCGTCTTCCTCCTCATCCGAATCATCTTCAGCATCTCCGTCTTCCCCTTCATCTACATCCATCTCCTCGTCCCCAGCTTCATTGTCGTCGTCCTCATCTTGGGCATCATTCTCATCATTTTCTTCCTCCTCCTCCTCCTCTTCAGCATCCTCATTTTCCTCTTCTTCTTCTGCATCTTCATTTTCCTCCTCTTCTTCTGCATCTTCATTTTCCTCTTCCTCTTCCTCCTCCTCCTCTTCGTCATTCTCCTTTCCATTCTCTTTTTCCTCAGCATTCTGTGAAGTCAAGTACACATTAGAATTCAATACCTAACACATACAAATGAAAAAAGAAAAAAAGAAAAAAGAGAAAGAAAGAAAAAACACAAAGAAATTAAGGAAAGAAGAACAAAAGAAGAAGAAAACAAAAAATAAATAAATAAATAAAAAAAGGGGACACTGCAAAAAATATACATTAATTTTCTTTTTCTTTTTTCTTGTAGGCTGTCCAATACATCTATATCAAGAATTCAATAACAAAATTAGCAATAACTAGCATGATGGGCCTATATCAGTATCTATTGTAGATATCCAGCTACATAGAGTCAAGCTTACACCCCCCCTCTCCTCTACTTATGCATATTTGCATTAAATGTTTTACATAATTTTGGTACCATCTTGTGATAATGACAACTATCCACAGTATGAAAGATATAATTGTGGTTGTGGATCATTCATCTTTTTTACACACATAAGAGCATGAGCACTTCTTGTATCACTAAAAGTATAGTTATTGCAATTAATGTATAAAAACATGAAACATCTTCAGGGTGATGATTACAAATTTTCAATGTTGTGCCTGCATAGACTATAAAATTTAGTTATAGTCCATACATCCCTACACTAGAATTACTTAATCCAATGACTGCTGATTAATGCTCTATAGTTTTTTGTGAATTCTGTTACATACAGGTGACTTCACACATGCTCTGGCACCAAGGAGTCTTTAATGATTGCACCTGATTTCCCCTTTCCTTGAAATTGTGAGGAAAAGTGTTTTTCATTTTAATACTATTATCATTGATACTGTTATTTTTCCTATCAATATAATGATTATCAAATTGTTACTGAAATATTAACAACATTAAATACAATAAGATAATAGAAAAAAGAAAAACAAGCAAAGGGGTAAACAGGTGACATAGGAAGGACTACTATCCAACTCCTTGGTGGCTAGGCACTTGTAAAGCCATCCATGTATAAAGACAATAGATGAACAGAGTCCTCAGTAAATACAGATAGAAAGGATGGAAGAAAAGCAACCTAAATCCTCCAGGTTAATGTGGCACAACCTGTGCCGCAGCCCCCACTTTCACACTCATTCAATCTCTGTAATTGAGAGCTAAGTCTACCAGACGCTGGTTGGCCAAGATTTGCAATGTAAAGTCACCAATGAAGATAACAAACTGGCCACCAAAATCAGCCTACCTTGGCCTTTTTCATGGGAGATTTAGATGGACTTCTACCATTCCTTAAACATCTAGAGCACTGGTATGAAGCCGAATTCTTGGAGGAAGCAGTTAGGCCATGGCTACGGGCACATTGCAGGTGGAAAGCGGAATCACAGGTCATGCAAGGGAGCAGCTGTGCATGACCACTTTTCTTATTGGGTCCTAACCCACAGTACACGCATGAATTGCTCATCTCATACTGCAAGCCACACATAAAATGGGAAACCTCAGGGACTTGTTTTGTTTAAAAAGCAGGTTGTTATGGAAAGCAGAAAAAGGAGTGAAAGCTAAAACATTTCTTTAAAGTACTTTACACACTTTGCAAAAATTAAAAAAGGAAATGGAAAGAGAAAAGAAAAGAAAAAAAGAAATGAAAAAAGAAAAAAAGTTCATTCATTGGCCAAATAATCAATAATAGTGCAAAAAGCCTCTAGTATAAGCACTGAATGGCAATAATTAAAGATACCTATTGAGCATACTGTGAGCTGCAGATTCAATACTTACATCTTCCTCTTCTCTCTCCTCCTCCTCCTCCTCCTCCACCTCCTCTTCTTCTTCCTCCTCACCCTCCTCTTCTTCTTCCTCCTCTTCCTCTTCCTCCTCGTCCTCACTAACAATTCTGTAATTCTTCTTTCCGGTGGCTCTTCGTGAACTCCTCCTGCTGAAAAAGTATTCTAGTTGCAAACCTTTGCTAATGGGAATTACTAAATAATATACTTCAATGTGGGTGTTCTGGGTTATACTAACAACTTGTCTTCAATTTAAAGCTTTTCTAAATATGAATTTGTTTTCCAAATGTCTACCATACAATAAAAATAAGTGTTAGAACAATAACACTAATAAATATAATAACTTAGTACAAATTTTAGAAAATGCCATCATCATTAGATTCAATATACAACTTTTACAACAAAAAGTGCATTTTGAGCATAAAAATGAAATATCACCAGGGACAAAAACAGAGCCTAATTTTACACAAAGCCTCCCAATAATGATCACTCACCTGCCCCTTGATCTTGATGGACGCTCCTCATAATCTTCATCATCGTCGTCTTCATCATCGTCATCAGAATCTGTATAACGTGCTCTTGCTGAACGCCTCAAGGATTGTCTTCCACCTCCACTTCCCTTGCTACTACTGCCACTTCGCTTCTTTGATTTTTCTCCACTTCTTGACCGACTCTTGCTTTCCTTAGTCTTGTGAGAGAGATTCAAGATTGTTTCATTATTCATCCATTTATTTATTTACTTAGCTTTTAATTTTTTTACATTCTTATTTTATAATACGATTATTTTCTTACACTTACACAAACACAAAACATATTTACAATGAATGCAGCATATCTTTCTTTCATATATAGCTTACAGGACTGGATACTTGACAATAACAAGATTACTCAACATCAATTATCAACCTCTTCAATCCCGGTGACGTGACCATAACATGAAAAAATTTGACTGGAGGGATAGGTAGCATGACCATGCCATCATGGGTAAAAATAGCCACAGGCCAGGTGATGTCAGCTCTCTGTTACAAGCAATGGCCAGGGTGATGAAAATGATTGCCACAATTGTCTTGGAGGGTGATTAGACTCATTTGGCATATAGAAAGGGGCTTTTGTATTATTCCAATCGATAAATGAGTACTGAATGTAATGTCCAAAGCCATGACTGGAAGAATGCCAGCTCCAAGGGGTTGTATTACAGAAAATTGAAAAGAAAAAAAAAAAAAAAAAAAAAAAATACACATCACAAATGACAAAATGTTACATTGTCTTCTTTTCTTGCACTGAGTTCCTCATTACTTGAGAGATGATATAAATTCTGGGCAAGGAAAACAGTCTCTTACCATCTGGATAAAGTAAATCAGAAGACAACTATGGACTTTGAAAAATTAGAAAAAAGCTAAAAACATTTATGCAAAATAACTTTGCAAAGGGGTGGCATGGAGCCTTGTCAATGCACACTGCACACCTGACAAGAGTGGCCACATGAGTAAGCCTAATGACCGTAATTTGGTCCATGTGATTACCATGAAACAACCAGATTCAAGGGGTTAAGAAGGAAAGGCAAGAAAGAAGGAAAGTCTACAAATATAAAGACAGAGAGATGAAAGGGAGTAAGGGAATGCGGAATGCAAAACATACCGTTTCTTTTTCTGCCTGGAATGGTGTTCTTGAGCTGACTGATCTCCCAGATCGTGTCTTCTGTTTGGAAGCAGCAGCATTTTTGCAGTCGACACACTCCCAATCCTTTCTGTAATGTAGAAAAGTAACCCATATTTACTGATTTTGCACAAACCAATAAATTCTGTAAAAAAACAATTTCACTTCAACAGATGTAAAAACCTGAAGCACACAAAAAACTATATTTTCAATTTTGCATATCCAGCATGTACACCAAACAAACAAGTATGAAACACACCGCAAAAATACCTGAACTTATATCGGTCTCTGTATCTTACCTGGCTCTTGTCTGGAGGGGTGGGTCATGACACTCTGAATGATAGGCAGCAGGACATTTGCTGCAGAAGATGAGGCCCAAGCCACGCTCACACACTCTACAAATCTTCTCCTGCTTAATTTCACCTCGGACTTCAGGTTCCTCCTCTCCTTGTCCAGCCTGAAAAGATTACGGTGTCTATTAATCCCTACGATCCTGATGATGTTACATTCTTGTCATGGAAAAATCTGGGTTGAAGACCGGATGACATGAACATGCTGTCATCAGGCAAAATGGCTGTGTGTGTGTGTGTGTGTGTGTGTGTTTGTTTTATTAACCTTGTGCACATTGTGCCTAGGAGTGACCCAGAAAATCCATACGATCTCCATATACCTTCAATGTCTGGAGGAGTTTGCTGCCCTTTATGGGCAATACTGAATTCTGATAAAGGTTCCCCCATCACGGTTTGTTTGGGTAAGTTTACAGCTTCTTCCCCTCCCCCACACCTTTCTCTTTTCCTCTTCTTAATGATTATGAACCTGTCTTAGTTCAAAGTCTAAGTGTGGCAGGCAGGTGTTCCAGCACTGCCTTCTGGATATACATGGACCATGACTGCTGACTTCATGTCAACATACAGGCCAACATGGATTGATGGATGTCACCATGTTTGGAACAGGACATGAGCTGAACCAGGGCAACTGCTACAACTCACCAGTCCTATCCCTACAACTCCAGTACCATTCCACCAATGTAGTGGGTACTGTCCACTCCAACTGGAAGTAATTGCTCAGGGATCTGAAGGCCACTCATTACAACAAGGATTATCACACCACTCTGACAGATGTGCTTTGTCTGTCACAAAGATACAAGAAACCAATCACCATGCTGTCAACTATCCCCACCTTTCAGACAGTCAATCTTATAGCCAGAAAGGAGTTCTTCTGGTCAAAACCATGTCAGGATGAAGAGGCATATCTGTGCAACCAGCACACTCAGTATTATCTCAGACCTTGCACGTCCATTGTGTGGAACAGGAAAGTTTTCTTCAAACTCCTCAATATGTGGTGTCATCAATGCTTATGAGGTCCAATAGCTCTATAAGCAACATATAACATTTGGGGTGAAACAGAGAATAACCTATCTGTTAAAAGATGCAAGGCACATGATTTATCCTTGCCTATGATAGCACTAGTAAGGTGGCAAGAACAGGCAAACAAACACCTACTCACTGTCTTGTCTAATTCTATTGTAATGTAAATATAATTTCCACATCAACAGAAATACACCCATTAGCCTGTATCCTTACTCACAATACAGCTGATACTGGTTCTTGTATTAATCATTCTACTGCCAAGAACAGAAACAGATTTCCCATTAAGTAAGACAACAAATATGCATTCCACTTACTTTACTTCTCTCTCTATTTACTCTGTTGTTCTTTTTCGGCTGGCAAGCAGGACACAGCCAGGGCTCAGGTGGTGTCTCACGCAGCTGTGGACGCATACAGCTCCAGTGGTAGCTACCTTCACACTGGTCACAGATAGCGAGTGGTATACTGGTGTCTTGGTGACGACACACTTTGCATTTCTGTAATGTTATATATATCATTAGGACTTTCTAGTATAAAGTAATACAGACATAGGAGCATGCTCAAATACATGTATATATAAGTACCATCCAACATTATAAGTAGTAAAAGAGAGAAAATAAAGAATATTCAGGCTAAAGTACATATGCATTTACATATACATACAAAAAGTTTCAAAAACACACAAAGATCACAATGACTGAACTTTTCTAGTAACTGACCTTTGTGGCTATGGATTTCTCCCACTTTATGCATGAATCAAACATGCTTACAAGCAGGTGTAACCGGGACAGGGTTTGGCTGTTCATTACGGAATCTCTCCATTGTTGAACTGCAGGATTCTCCAACTCTTCATATTCTGTTGACAAAGAAGTTTTAAGCATTTCAAAAATTCATATAAAAAACAAAATGTAAACAAAGGATTCATAATATTGAATATATCATAATACAGCCATAAAAAAATATCTATTAATTACTCTTTCTTCCCTCACGCTCCCTAATTCCCTTACTTTCTCCCGTCTCTTCTCCTCCTTTCCCTCCATGCCACCTCTTCTCTTTCCCCCACCTTCTTTCCTTTATCTGCCTATCTGTCTCCCCCCATTCATTCTTTTTTTCATTCCTCACTCTCCATCCCCCTCCCTTCCTGTCTGTCTGTTTTTGTCTTCCCTTTTCGCCTCTCTCACTCCCTCCTCCTTTTCCATCTACTGCCTCTCCAAACCTCCCCCCCTCTCTCTCTCTCTCAAGAAATAAAACAGAAAAATTATTTGGCTAATAAAGCATTATACCTGTGGGTAATTCCGGATTTTCTGAAGGCATGGGTTTCTTAATTGGGGCCATGATTCCCTTCAGATACTTGAACTGTATGTGCCGCTGGACCTCCAGCAAACACTCAGATAACTCCTGCTGTGTTGATGCCTTTTGAAAGAGCAAAATTTCTGGTTATCACAAAGATCAAAATACAAATGCATGCATGAATCAAAACAAATTCATGTCTCAAATGAAGAGTAAACAGGCACAAGATCCTCATGGCATAACAGTGGCAAAAAGCACAAAAGTTTTCTTCTTTTCAAACTCACTTCTTGGGCCTTTTTCTCCCACTCTTCGAAGTCAGGCACAGACCCGAGCCAGCCTTCTGTCAGCTCCCGCTCAATCTGAATAATGTCTTCCCTCAGGGACTCCATCAGCTGTTTGGCACCATCCTCAAGTTCATCCAGGGTTTCTTTTCTGTAAAGACCCCAAAGGAAATCCAACCATTAGGTTCATCTAGAAGATGCCTAGAATCGGTAAATTAACACACTGATGAAGGATAAAGAAGGGGAAGAGCCATATCTTCTTTCAAGATCACTGTGCTCTTTCTAACATATTCAATTTAATTTGAAGAAGCATAAACTTTCCATCTTATATTTCTGTAGGATTGTTAACATGAATTCATCAGTGATATTTACTTTTACTGTGAAGATCCAAATTGAAACTGAAGCTAGAACGATCTCACTCACATCAAGTGATGAACCTTAAACTTATTCCTTTTACCTTTATAAGATGCATATGTACTCAAGAAGGTATAGTAGCTAAATCACTGTAACAATGCTTACGGTTTTGCTATAGTTTCTTCTAAATGTTTTCTGTGGTTTAAAATGGATGTCTTCAGAGGAGCTTCTCGAGCACCTTTCTCTGCCAAGGCCTCCACAAGTTTGTCCACCTCTTCAATAGTACTGCAAGATAATAAAACTATCAGTAAGGGTTATACAATGTTCTGCCTGGTGCTTAAGAATTCTAACATCAGCTTGTTTACAAACCTTTCAGAAGGAAACATATGACTGTACCTAAAATCAGCATCAAAACAAGAATTCAACTCAGGTGCCACTTACTCGTAATGGAACCACATATTCTGTCCAACTGAAGGGAATGTGTCATCCTCATCATCATCCGGTGGTTTGACCAGTCTGGGCCTTCCCCGGGGACTTGCCGTACTGCTAACCTGCGCGTAATTAGGATTGTTAGCATTAAAACCAGTGGGCTTGTTCAGTCTGGGCCTTCCCCGGGGACGTCCAGTACCTCTAACAGGTGTACTAACGGGACTGCTAGCACCCATCGTCAAATCACAGGGTTTGATCTTTCTAGGCCTTCCCCGGGGACGTCCTGTACCTCTTAGAGGTGTTCTACTGGGACTGCTAACACTCAGCACCAAATCACTGGGCTCAACTTTGGGGGTCAGGTTGGCGGACATTCCTGCACCGCTACTCTGCTCATCGCTTGGCTTGACGGGGGTTCCCATACAGCTACCCTGCTCATTGCTTGGCTTGACAGGAGTTCCCATACAGCTACCCTGCTCATCGCTTGCTTTGACAGTCGTTACCGCGCCGCTACCCTGCTCATTGCTTTTTGATGGGTGTTCCTTAGCTCGTCAAACTCGTGGAACCACATATTCTGTCCAACTGAGGAATGTGTCATCCTCATCATCATCCGGTGGTTTGACCAGCTGGGCCTCCCCGGGGACTTGCCGTACTGCTAACCTGCCGCGTAATTAGGATTGTTAGCATTAACCAGTGGCTTGTTTCCTGGCCTTCCCCGGGGACGTCCCAGTACCTCTCTAACAGGTGTACTAACGGGACTGCTAGCACCCATCGTCAAAATCAAGGGTTTGATCTTTCTAGGCCTTCCCCGGGGACGTCCTGTACCTCTTAGAGGTGTTCTACTGGGACTGCTAACACTCAGCACCAAATCACTGGGCTCAACTTTGGGGGTCAGGTTGGCGGACATTCCTGCACCGCTACTCTGCTCATCGCTTGGCTTGACGGGGGTTCCCATACAGCTACCCTGCTCATTGCTTGGCTTGACAGGAGTTCCCATACAGCTACCCTGCTCATCGCTTGCTTTGACAGTCGTTACCGCACCGCTACCCTGCTCATTGCTTGCTTTGATGGGTGTTCCTGCATAGCTACCCTGCTCAGCACTTGCTTTGACAGTCGTTACCGCACCACTACCCTGCTCATTGCTTGGTTGCACAGGTGTTCCAGCACAGCTACCCGGTTCAGCATTGGGTCTGACAGGCATTCCCACAGAGCTACCCTGTTCAGCATTTGGACTGTTAACATTCAAATCTGAAGGCTTGATCTTTTTCGGCCTTCCCCTAGGACGTGCTGCACTGCCAACCTGTGCATTATTTGGACTGTTAGCAATAAAACCAGTGGGCTTGTTCAGTCTGGGCCTGCCCCGGGGACGTCCTGTACTGCTAACCTGCGCGTAATCAGGATTGTTAACAATTAAAACCATAATTCCGGATAATATTGAATAATCTTTGGAAACATATATTCAGACATATGATAATAATCAAAACAAGAAGAGGAGGAGAGAAGAGAGGAAAAGGAAAAAAGAAAAAAGCCAAGAAGAAAACAAAAGCCAATACATATCACAGCATCAATAAGTCAAAAATACAACATAAAAACTATATAGCAAATCAAAACAAATCAATCACTACCCTGAAAAATAATTCAGGTACCATGTGCTTATACTAAAAAAAGACTGCCATACAAGAGAGATTGCCTTTTTACCTTTTTCTGGGGCGTTGTGGCTAATTCCTGCTTTATGGCAGAGAGAGGCTTGTCATCTGAATCCGACTCGGACTCCTGCTTGATGATCATTTTGGAGGGCGAGCTGGCTGTTCCTTTTGCTGCGCTTTTGGGCTGGAACAAGAGGTCAATGTGTGAGGAAGGATAAGTCACAGAAATATGGATGACACCCTCTTACAATTTCAAGTTTTACGCTTAATAAACAAATGTTTCAGGTGGCACACATTAGCCCACACCAGACCTAGGCTTACAACGATATACATTCTTAGTCAAGTGAATCATACCATAAAATGGAACTTTTTAAAAGGTAGAAAGTCCTAGCCAACTAGGGGAATTGTTGCAGGCCAGCACTTGCATCATGGGCTTAGTGTGTGCAACCTAGAATTTGACCTGTTCTCTGACATACTGGGTATATAACAATAGGAGAGGGGAGAAGGGAGATTACAGGGAAAAATTGGGATAAAAGTGAAAATAATAGAAGATAAGAACAAGAAAAAAAGAAAAAAACTAAGAGGAGGAGGGAGGGAGGTTGAGGAAGAAAAAGAACATATATACATACACATTATAGATGTATGGTGTTCATATATATTACATAAAATATAACACAATCTTAATATATATATATTATTATATATAATACTATATATGACATATTATATATACTAATATATATTATATAACATATTATGAGTATGTTATGTAATGCTATATATGTATTCTGTATGTATGTATATATTGTATAAGTATGGTATATATGTATGCATTGTAGCTGTATATATGTATGCATGTT